GGTGGACGGATGCACAGCTGGACAGATGGATGTGCAGATACACGGACGGACGGTTGGGTGGACAGACAGACGGATGGTGCAGGGATGCGGTGACGTCCCCCGCTGTCACCTCCCACCCCTGCAGGCAGATGCTGGACACGGAGGATGAGCTGAGGGAGATGCGGTCGGACGCGGTGCCCTCGGAGGTGCGGGACTGGCTGGCCGCCACCTTCACCCAGCAGGCGCGCGCCAAAGGGCGGCGGGCGGAGGAGAAACCCAAATTCCGCAGCATTGTGCACGCAGTGCAGGCCGGAATCTTCGTGGAGAGGTGGGGATGTGATGGGGGAGGGGATGGGGGAGGGCTGAGCTTCCACGTGGGTCCCCAGAAGCAGAGCAGTCCCCAATAAACCAAGCGGGTCCCCAGGAACTCAGCTTGGACCCCAAGAAACCCCGTGGGTTCTCAAGAGCTCAGGTGGGTCCCTGAACATCCCGTCGTCCAGGTGTGGCCCTCGAGAAGCCAGGTGACCCCACAGATCTGTTCCCAGTGACCCAGGTGGCTCCCCAGAACTCAGGATGGTCCCTGAGCCTCAGCATCCACACAGCTCCCCAAGCACCAGATCAATCCCTAAGAAACGATGCAGGTCCCCAGTACTCAGGTGGGTCCCTGAGCAACCAGGTGTGTCCCCGAGCATTGGCTCAGCACCCAAGGATCTACAAGGATCCCCAAGAAGTCAAATGGGTCCCCAGCATCCGGGTGGGCCCCAAAGAACCGGGTCGTTCCCCAGTAGCCCAGATGGATCCCCAAGAACTCCACTGGGCCCCTGAGCATCCATGAAGGTCCCCAGTATCCAGGTGGGTCCCCGAGCTCCAGATCAGCCCCAAATGGGGCCACAAGGAGCCATGTGGATCCCTAAGAACTTAGCTGGGTCTTTCGGCATCCGCGGGGGTCCCCAGCACTCGTGTCTATCCCTGAGCACTCAGCTCAGCCCTGTGCTCCCCTGGTGCCCACCAGCCCTCTCCCTGCCCCTTGCAGGATGTTCCGCCGGTCGTACACAGCCGTGGGGCCCAGCTACTCCAACTCTGTCCTCAACTGCCTGAAGGTACTGGGGAGGGGGGACAGCACCCCAAGGACCCCCCGCCAAAGGTGGCTTTGCAGAGGGGTTCAGCGTGGGATGTGTGGGAGAGGTGGCACGGTGGCGTTACTGGCATCGCCGGGCACTGCTGGGCATCGCTGGGCATTGCAATGGGCTTTAGTGGGCATCACTGGACGGCACTGGGCACTACTGGCATTGCTGGGGGGTCACCGGGCATCACTGGGTGTTACTGGGGTCACTGGGCATCACTGGGTGTCGCTGAGCATCTCTGAGCATCTCTGGGCATCACCTGCCATCCTGGGCATCTCTGAGCATCTCTGGGCATCTCTGAGCATCTCTGGGCATCACCTGCCATCCTGGGCATCTCTGAGCATCTCTGGGCATCTCTGGGCATCTCTGGGCATCACCTGCCATCCTGGGCATCTCTGAGCATCTCTGGGCATCTCTGGGCATCTCTGAGCATCACCTGCCATCCTGGGCATCTCTGAGCATCTCTGGGCATCTCTGGGCATCTCTGGGCACCACCTGCCATCCTGGGCATCTCTGAGCATCTCTGGGCATCTCTGAGCATCTCTGGGCATCACCTGCCATCCTGGGCATCTCTGGGCATCTCTGAACATCTCTGGGCATCTCTGGGCATCTCTGGGCATCTCTGAACATCTCTGGGCATCTCTGAGCATCACCTGCCATCCTGGGCATCTCTGGGCATCACTGAGTCCCTCCATGTGCCCGCATCCTCCCCCAGAGCCTCGACCTGTGGTGTTTCGACGTCTTCGCCCTGCACCGTGTGACGGAGGAGCACTCCCTGCGCACCATCGTCTACGAGCTCTTCACCCGACACAACCTCAACAGCCGCTTCAAGGTGCGCCCAGCCCGTCCCCAGCCACGTCCCCTGGGTGTTTTTCCCTTTTGCACGAGTGTGACACGCGCGTGTGTCCCCACAGATCCCCGCCGTGTTCCTCACCTCGCTGCTGGACGCGCTGGAGGTTGGCTATGGGAAGTACCGCAACCCCTACCACAACCAGGCGCACGCTGCTGATGTCACCCAGACCGTCCACTGCTTCCTGCTCCGCACTGGCATGCTGGTATGGGGACAGCGTGGGGACAACAAAGGGACGGGGGTTCCCTGGGCTTTTCTGGTCCAGGGATGCTTGTTGTCACAGAAGCAGCACTGCCGAGCGACTCATTTGTCACCATGGAAATGCTGTGAGGATGCAGGGGGTCGGGGTCACCCCCATTTGAGGGGGCAGGAGGGGGCACCTCGTGCTGTCACCCCCACTTGGTTGTCGCATGCACTTTGTGGGGTCACACACTGCCGTGGGGACAGTTGTGTGTTGTCACACGCAGCCGTGGGGTTGCACACGTGCTCAGGACCCTGTGCCCTTCTGCTCCCTGCCCCCTCGCTGGGTGGCACTGGTCCCTGTCCC